CATTGATCAGATATTATTAAACTCATTGATTTATAGGGTTGCAGGGCTCCTACACATTCATTTACAAATGCAACCCTTTCTTGAGAGGAACGGTCTGACGAGATGACGAGCGAGTGGCTGGTACTCTGTGATCATTGTGGCCGAAACATGTGAAACACTTCAGAGCTTCTTTTCACTTCACCAATTAATGGCATTTGTGTTTCCCAGCCAGCTGGATGTAGCCCAGTGTCGATGTGATGTTAGGCTAGAAGTGATAACAAAGCGTAGCAGCCATGAAGAAGAAGAACAAAACAAAGAGTGGAATATTACAAAAAGAAAAACCTCCATACGTGTTCACTTAGTCTGAGATCAGGTTAGCTCATAAAGATTACATATCTCATTTGAATCCGACATCAGACGGTCTAAGAAGCTCCTTTCGCTCTCAGCTTGGAGAGCAGCATCTCGTTCTTGCGACACTCCTGGAGACAAAAACAAGAAAACAAGCGTCATCCTCGCTGTTAGACCATCACCTGTCACACATGGGGGCTGATCTCAGGTCAGCACATACTAATTGGATAAATTATTGCCACAACAGCAAAACATATGATCACGTAGTCCACACAACAACAAGTGTCCACAATCACAGAACAGTACAACACAAACAATACAGCAGTGCAACCACATGGCTCAAGGCCTTAAAGTGAGAATGTAAAGTCCATGTGCTGCTTCTAGGAAGCGCATTGCTTCAGGATCAGTGCTTGTGTGCAGCTTCTTCCTGGCTCACAATGAGGTGGAACCGTCCTGACCATGTGTTCACACCTAGACCCTGTATGTACTATTACTGGTATTCTACAGGTGTCCCTTTAGACTTCTGTATTAGGTAAAGGGTGGGAAAAAAGTTGATTACATATTATTATTAAAAAAACCTTTTCCTTACATTTCACTGGTGCAAACAGACGCACACCAGCGTTGTAGTTGCAGTACAAGACGGCATTCAGGCACATATGTTCACAAACCATAGCTGGTGATATAAATGCTATTAAAAGATCAACCTGTGGCTGTAATCCTCATCAGCTGTCCATGCTCCATATGATTGATGGTGGAACGTGTTGTTCACACCGGCTCATATTCATTGTGAACGTGCCGATGCTTCTATCAGTCAGTCAGTGACAGACCTCAGCCTTCATCGGGCTGCTCACACTTCGCTTGCGTGGCGGTTCAACCAAAAACAGACCGCTGGATTCTTTTTCTTTGGCAGTTGTTACAGATCCTTTCTCCTGCTTCTATCGACTATGATACAACACCCCACATCAGTGTAATGTCGCTGCCGTTACAAATGACAGAGAGACATTTTACAGAATAGCTTTCTCCATGAAGACGCACGTCAGAGGCGGCCGCCTCGTAATCCTCTTTGAAGAGATGATCTTGTCTTGTCACGCAGGGAGGGTGGAGCTCGCACTCGTCACGCCCCGTGTTCGCTGGACCATATTTGAGATGCAGGGCAGAAGTGCTCTCTGCCAGGGTGATCCAACGCTCGCCCTTTGTCCTCATATGACGTGCACACACCTGTTTTTATGTGCACGGGTTGAGACAAATTAAACGCGATGTTCGTGTACATACAGAATACGCTGCATGATGCGCAGCTGATAGTCTATTATAGAAACAGCTAAAGGAGGAGAGGGGACGAGGCTGGTGGGGAGGGAGGATGAAAGTGACTTGTTCAAGTCAAAGTGTGTCAGGATATAATCAATAAAATAACTTACTTAAGTACTCACTGTGCAGCCACATGGGCTCTTTAGTTGTTACATTACAATATTAGATTATTATTAAGGGTGCAGTCACATGTACGATGCACTTTAACGGAAACATTTCTCTACCTATAAGGAATTATTTGAATAAACATACAATACAAAACAATATTGGGAATCGAAATGACTTTCTTGCCTAAAAATGTATTGAACTCAACATCTTTTAGGCTTATAATGTGTTAACTCTATTATTACACAGGTAGGTTCTGCCTCTCTTTGGACTGCAGCAGCACCTCTCACATGTTACTCGTCCTTGAGTTCATCCAGAACTAATGAAGCACGAGCTGATACCTGATTGTTTCCTCACCTCTTTAAAGTCCTTGACAGTTTTGAAGTATAGCCTCTGCTTGTCGAGCAGCTCCAGGTACTCGTCGTTCAGCTGATCTCTCCTCATTTTGTTTTCCTGCTTCTTCTTCTCCATCTGAAGCAGATGAACAGGAAGCAAAGATCACACACCTGTGTATTATATTTTAAAAAATCAGAAGTGCACGACCAAGAACCGCGATCACTTACAGGCAGGCAGTAATAAAGTTATTTTCTGCTAGTATAAACTAAACTTATGCCTAAACAGCTTTAGGTCGTCAAATACTGGTGCTTTCGCCCCGTGGCGTCTGATACCGAGGCGAAAGCATCACATCCACTTTAGCTCTGTCAGATACAAAGTGGGCGAATTTGACGGATGTGAAGAGGTTGCTTCATCGCTGTGTGTTTTCATGTGCTGCAGTGTTCCACTTGCTCCTCTCCGTCTCCCTTTGCTGAGGGCAGAATGTGTCAGTTAGATCAAGAGCAGCTCGGAGCCACACACAGCAAACAGCAGCTGGAACTTAACCGCTGTGAAACAGTCAGAATGAGGTTTTATTCCTCCGATTCACTGCTTTGTTCTCACTAACGTCGCTCCCTCTCTTCATTCACTTTATAGCTCGCTTGTCCATCGCTGCTCTCCCTCGCTCTCTTGCTTGTTGAGTCGAGGAGTAGAGGCCAACTCTGAATGTGTGTGTTTACAAACAGCAACCAACAGATGTAATATACTCAACCTTTAAGAGACTTCTACCTTGATGCGACTCTGTTTGATTCCCTCCACTATTTGCTCCATCTGTCTGAGGAACTGCTCCTTGGCTGCTGAAGACGCCATGGCCCTGGACAGCAGGACAGCAGGTTAGAGCCCATTCTCTCATCACATACATCAGTGCTGCATATTACACATATATGTATTTTTACTTACTGGTGGAAGTTGTCATGAATGGAATTCAGCAGATTCACCTATAGAAATGAAAGCACATTTTGTTCTCGTTTATATACAGTTGTGTGAAAAAGTGTTTGCCCCCTTCCTGATTTCTTA